GGAGCCCTCCTATAACCACTCACTCATTCACTTAGATTTACTCACATGAACACAAGCTCAGAAGCACGTAGTGAACACACTTAGAAAGAGAGAATACGTGTAAGAAACAGGCTCTGTTGCTCTTTAGTGTGCTTTACAAGAAATATCATCACTAATAAAAACCAAGAAATATTGTGCAGACATGTAGAAACCTGTTGCTTTTCCAGACATACTTCATTGTTTTACTAGAGCATCAGAGGAAAGCTTTCTGTTGGCCCCATGTAGAACTAGTTTTACTCATAGTCAGTGCAACGGCTGCATGGAATTCATTACCAGATTTTTGTTCAAAAAGTAACACAGTCTCATCGTAACTTTTTACACACAAGATTGTGCGGCCTAAAATGAGATTGTTTCGTTTTTTTAGGGTGTGATAGAGATTTACAGAACTTTACATCCCACTTTCATGTGTTTTAAGTTACTCTTTGATTTTATTTTTCTTTCACTTTTCACTTCTTTAAGAGGGGACATTATTCAGACTATCTTATGTACTTGACAGGATTTGAACGATTACATCATTTGTTGTTTTTGTCTTAACATTTGTCATATATTTTTGACTTTTACGCGAATACAGACACTAAACACTACCTGTATCATACCTGTATTGTCAATATACTACATGTACCCCCCATTTAAGTAGCTGCTGTTATAGTTCAGTAGCTAATGGCTATCTAAATCAACAAACAAACAAATGGACACATGTGCACTCGCATGGGAGCGTTGCTGCCACCCTGCCTGGAGCTGTACATTTCCACTGCTGGCTCTGTTGGGACAAGGCTGCAGTGTGTTTCCCTCCCGCTTTCCCTCTCCTGGACTGGAGTGAGATGGGGCCAAGGCTGTAAATTCCTCAGAAAGAGCTGTTAAGAGGGCCTCCATTAAAACGGAGAGGGGGGGGAGGAGGGGGACACGCTCGCCAGCGAGGAGCCGACTCAATAAGTCATCATCGAAGCCCGAGGCCTCGCTGAGGCCCACGGGAGAGTAGCAGATTGGATTAGAGTATTACTACCTTGTTCTGTCTAATACACCCAGTTTACCTGCAGATACAGGTGCTCAGAGTGCTTCAATATACCATTATTGGATCAATAAGAATGATTTTACCACTTTGTAATGTATCTGCAGGGTATTAATTGTGCTTCAAGGCAAGGGGCAGAAATAGATATGTTGCCTAAATGTAATAACGCAGAGTTATTGTTGCACTATTCGACAGCAATATTAAACAGGAGGTGAGAGGACTGGTCAGGTTCCACAGGTTCTAAAGTGAAGTCAATTATTATATGCTGATTTTTCACGGCTGTGCACATGAAACAAAATATGGCAAACTAATATTCTATATGGTAGTAGACAGCATGCTGTAGATTCATTTAAGACACCCAGGCGCAGTTAAAGGTAACATATCAAATGCAAATTAATGCTCAGAACTATTAGTGTGTTCATGACTTAAAAGGCGGTCCATCGTGGGAAGTTCTTGTCTAAAGACCACCGGTATTGCTAAATCAGATTTTGTTTAAATTATATTTCTTTCTGATACATTAACACGTACTTTGCGTGCTGAGTTTCCATGGCTGCTCAGCCCCAAATGTTCGACTTAATAAAAAACGACCGCATTAAATTTCAATAAACGTAATAAATTGTGACAAGTTCTAAAACAATGACACAGCACAGTAGTAAAAAGTGAAACATTGCACCTCCCTCCATGTCCCTTCTCGTGTTATCATTTGCTACTTGCGCCATCACCCCGAAAGTTTATGAGAGCGGTATTGGTTGTGTACACACTGTGGTGTCTGGAAGCACATTAACCATTCCATTCCCTCCACACACACTCCTCCCAATCAACACCATTATTATCCCAGGCGTGCTGCAGGCTCCCAAAATATCTGTCATGCAGCTGTCGGCACCTCTCTGCTTAGCAGCTGGAGACGCTCTGATGCACTCCCCCACTTTCTACCCTGATGCCATATGCACCCTTGCCCCGAAAGACAGGGGGCAAAGTAAACTCCCCTCGCATCCCTGAGTCAGTCTCAACAGTTTGCTGTTTGTCTTCTCGTCAAAGCCACTCCTGCGTGGTCTGCGCACATATGAGCAATAAAATAACAGACAAATGGTGTGCATGAGGCATAAAAATGAACCGCCAAGAAAGATAGGAGGCTCAGCGGGTTCCAGTTTCTACTGTAATTGAATATTAGGGCAATATGGTTTAGTGATTTAAGAAGCTACATCTTGTAAAATGTAATGCAAGCCTAAAAGACCAGGAGGAAAATCATCATAATTATAATTATTAAAACAAATAGATAACTCAAAATAGATTTTTATTTTGAGCTGCTCTTAAACCACAAACTTAATCATGGGGTATTTATCCTATACTTTTCATGAAAAAAAAACATGACTTTCAATTTAACAAGAGTAAAGTGGAGGTCAAGTTTTAAAACACTGGAGTTTAGAGATGACAAACAGGACACTTCCTCGCGGCGACCATTTATAGCTGGAGGAAATGAATCAAAGTCAGAAACTGAAATGCACATTTAAAACCTTCAGTCTCCTGCCAACTTGTTACGCTCCATCCCATTCACAGTGGCCACCTCTGAAAGCAATGACAGGAGAAAGAACATATTGCACTTCCTGTGGAGATTTCAAGGGAGTGCAAGACAGATAGATATAGTATGTGCTCTGGAAAATCTCAGCTACTCTCCTATGGTTAGGATAATGTATGACTGCAACTAATCCAGCCTTCAGAGCATGAGTTCTTCTTGAGTTTCAGCCAAGATTTGATTAGAAACAGACATACTACAGGTCTGGATACTTTTTTCTCTCTCTTTTTTTCTTAACATTTCCCTTTTTTCCCCCCAGTCCTTTGTCTACTTTAAACCATCTATAAGCATTCTGATGCAACTCTCACACAGTAAAAAATGCTCATTGTACATTGGCACAAATTTAAACAATGGCTCTATAGTACCAATAAGAACACAGGCGCTTGTGACTAACAATATGATCCTTCTCTGACATGCCAAGACCTTCTTCCAATAACAGCGACATCATAATATCAACTCGTGAAGCATTCCTCCTGTCTTACCCCCGATCCTTGGCTTGTCCCTTCTTGCCCTCAAGCAAGCAGGAAACGGCTTCATGCAAGATCTAAGATGCAAGATCAACAACATGAGAGACGGCTGCCACTGAAAAACTGGGCACCAACATTAAAGTGAGCAGGATCGACTGTAGATAGCTACCACCTCTTGTGTAGTTAGTAAGAACAGTTTAGTGCAGCAGGTTTGACACGGAGTTTTAATCATAACCCTGAATGTGTTGCATTTCCAAGCAGTTCTCTGCACGTATAGAGAAAGTCAAGTGCACCAAATGAAATCGCAGATGGATCACAGAACATAAACAACACACACAATTTACTGACAGAAAATATTTTGTGATTTTTTTCTTTTTTCTTTTTCCTGGCATACGTTAGAACCACAGCATCTGACTCCATTTAGTTCTGATGGTCTCAGATCCAGTTTTAGTTCACGAAATATTCACAAAATCACAATCACGTCTCTTCTCATTTGGACTCTCCTTTTCTTCCTTTCTTTGTTGTTTTCCCTGGAGAAAGACAAAAGCAACCCAAATAATACTGAATTTTCCATCACGCTCTCCAAACCCCTCCTCTCCTAAACCCTAAAACAATCTCACTCTCTTCACCACCAGCACCCCACCCACATGCCGCTTCTCTTCATTCTCTCACTCTTCATTCGTTTCTCTGCTTCAGTGCAAAGCCAAACAAGCCAGCCATTAAGTTGAGTTAAGCGCAGGAAGTGGGCCTTCGGGCCAGGCGGCACTGTTTACAAGGAGCTAGTCAGGTTTCAGCGGTGCTTTGAAGTGAGCAGCACACAGGAGACTGTCTGTCACTAGGCAAAGGCCCAGCACCGCTCCACTGACTCACTCGCATTCCCCCCATTCATCTGAGCGGAGAGAGGGAGGGAGGGTGGAGGCAGAGAGGGGGTGTAAATGGGCAGAATAGAAGAGCCACAGGTAGATTTATGGTTTTTCCCCCCTCAGAGTATCTGTTCCTACCTTTAATCACTCTTACCTGTCTGTTATTACAACCCGTCTTTATTTAACCCCTGGTAAGGATATAAGAAAGACAAACATCAACTTGTCCAACAGGTCATGAGATATAAGAGAGATCCATTGGTGGGCTTTTCATTTGCTCCTGCCAGTAATTATAACACATCTCAGAAAGATACAACCTAATATAAAGATTATGTGCAGCATTATGAGCCCCTCTGAACCATTGCTCTAACTATTTAAATGCACACACCATACGGTTTGTACGTGCCATTCTCAAACGCTCACTTCTAGCCCAGAGCCTCTGCTCTGAGGCAAGAGGATCAGCTTTCTCCAGCACACCCATCGACTTCATGACATCACTGCAGAGAAGGTTCAGTTTCAGCCGTGCATGGCTTGGGGGATTCCAACTTGGCACAAAACACAGCAGTTCAAGAGAAGTAACACGACAGCATAGCTGAATATCCTTGTTTTCCCTTCACCAAACAGGCAGGCAGGAACATTTTCACACCTATGCAACAGCACAGACTTCTCCTGCCAGACGATTCCTGTTGGTTTAACCTCTCGGAAAAAAAATTACAAGTTTCTTGTTTTGTTTAGCACTTAAAGGCGATGTTAGTGCACATGTGCGAAGAAGCCCTCTGCCACATTCTTACAGGTTGGCACCGGTTTCTCAGACCCAAAACACACAGATGTGAAATATTTCAGAATATATTGACAGAGTGTGTGATTAACAGGAAAGGTGTGTTCAATTGGCAGTGTCAGTATAAACTCATTCCTTGTATTTCCCAGAGGGCTCCAGTCAATGATCTCTTTTACTGTTGCCTGCCAGTCTGAGGCAACAGATGTTCAGGTGTGACACAACACTCACCCCCTTGAGAAAACAACATAACTGTCCTTTTATCAAAGAAAATAGCTTGTTATCAAGAGCATTTAATCATTGAAAAGAATACTGAACATATGGAAGGGCAAAAAAATGAAAGAAAAAGACTGAACAAGCTTTCCCTCCTTGAACTACAATTAGGTATTTGATGTAGCTGTTTGATGATATCTGCACATTCTGCAGAAACTCAGCACATGTTTTTTGTTAAAGAAGAATAATGGTACAGTGTGCTCGAAAAAAAACTTCTTGAAAGCCATCCAACAGACTGAAATGTAGACACTGTAGCATTGTTGTCGTAAAAAGACAGAATTTATCAGAAGGAATGAACAAAAACAGGCATGTCTGGATGTGCAACAGTAAGTAAAGCAGGTACACTGGCAGATAAGGAAAAGTATTTACTTTCTTTAAATACAAATATATAATTTCATGTTTTTACAAATACTATTTACAATTCCATTAAATTGTACATGAAATGTGTACAGACAAGGGGAAAAAAATTCTTCCACAGCTCATTTCCTCCCTCTCTGTGGTCTTGGCTGCTGGATCATCACTCCCCTGCAGTTTATGGTGGCTTTAAGAAAAGAGCCAGAGAGGATGAGGAGAGCATTTCAGCACATGGCATCCGTAGCCATGATTGTTATTTGTTCAGACAGTCAGGTTCAGTCCGTGTTTATCCAGCTTGTCTTTTTGTCAAAACCTAACCCTCAGTCTGGCATGCATAAGTGACTATGAAGCTGAGGCAAACGCAAATAAACCTATAGCTACTCACTGTGCAACTTACCTATCACACGAGGAACAGGTAATAGAACACAAATTAGTCCCAGCAACATTTAGATTGCCAATTTATTCTACACTGTGGTCTCCCCATGTTTGCCGTTTGTCAGCCTCGTGTAGAACTTGTGCCAGGAGTGCAGAGTCTTTCCAGACCAGATCCAGAAACCAGAGGTGATGCCCACTATCAGCGTCATCAGGTACTTGATCATGTAGACGGTAAAGTCAGGGGTCATGTGTGGTGTTTGATGCCTTCCCTGCAGAGGGCAACGGATGGCCAGGCTCCTGCAGTTATGGATGACCCAGCTCCGCTCCCAGTGCGGGCGGAAGGCCTGCTCGTAGAAGAAGCAGGCGATAACAATAGTGGCGGGGACGGTGTAGAGCACGCTGAACACCCCAATCCGCACCATCAGTCGCTCCAGCTTCTCCGTCTTGGTGCCGTCGTGTTTCATGATGGTGCGGATTCTGAACAGTGACACAAAGCCGGCCAGCAAGAAAGAGGTGCCGATGAAGAGGTAAATAAAGAGGGGGGCCAGCACGAAGCCCCGCAGAGGGTCCAGGTTGCTGAGACTCACAAAGCAAACACCACTGAGCACGTCGCCTTCAATCTGCCCGATGGCCAGGATGCTGATGGTCTTCACAGCTGGAACCGCCCAGGCCGCCAGGTGGAAATACTGAGAGTTTGCCTCGATGGCCTCATGACCCCACTTCATACCTGCTGCCAGGAACCAGGTGAGGGACAGGATGACCCACCAGATGGAGCTGGCCATGCTGAAGAAGTAGAGCATCATGAAGAGGATGGTGCAGCCTTCCTTTTTGGTGCCTTGGACGATGGTCTTGTAGCCATCAGGGTTGAAGCTGTCATTGCACACCACCTTATCCCCGAGGAAGTAGCCAGCTATGTAGGCTATGGAGACCATAGTGTAGCAGCCAGACAAGAAGATGATGGGTCGCTCTGGGTATCTGAAACGTTGCATGTCAACTAAATAAGTGGTTACTGTGAATAAAGTAGATGCACAACAAAGCACAGACCAAACTAGAATCCATATGCGGGAGAAATGAATCTCTTTATCACTGAAAAACATCTTCCCACCGCTCCTTGATGACTCGCAGGGAGCTGCACAATCCTTCTCCTCCAAAAATTTATAATTTAAATATGGTGGGACTTTCAGAGAAGGCGGGCAGCGGAAGGGCTTCTCATGTGAGGGGACTATGGAGGGGTCCTGGGTGCCCGTAACAGTCGTGGTGGGGACGGTGGATGTGGAGGAGTCGTTCTGGCCCACGCAGATCTGTCCGTCTCCCAGGACAGGGAAGTTCTCGCAGCGCAGTCGGTCCGGCCACTGAAAGCCAAACTTGTTCATGAGAGCCTCGCATCCTTGCTTGGCCCTCTCACAGATCGACCTGCACGGAGGAATGGCCTTCTCTAAAACTGTGCACACGGGCGCATACATGGAGCACAGGAAGAATTTCAACTCCGGGGAGCACTGTACCTTCACCAAGGGGTAAAACTGGTGCACCTCCAGCCCTGCGTCCTCCTGGTTGTAGTGGCCCACTAAGTTGGGCATGATGGTTTGGTTGTAGGCGATGTCCGTGCACAAAGGTATCGAAATCGGCTGACAAAATCCGTGCTCCGGGACCACTATCCCGTTGTCCCCGTGGTACTGAGCTGATATCAGCAGAGGCAGAAGCAGGACCGCAACACACCAAGTCTTGCAAAAAGTCATCTCTCCAAGTTTGAGGCCGATTAAACTTGTAAATTTATTTATCGCGTATCGTCAGCTCTGCAAACACTTCTTCGGCGACAGTATCTATTTATTTATTTATTTTTAAACTATTAAAGCAAAAAAAGTTTAATAGCAAAGACCTAAACTCTCCTCTCTCTGTGCTTAGTCTCTACTTGAACACTGCTGGCTGACTTTTTTCTTTTCCACAACTCCGATTTCCCCTCCACTGTCAAGGCAGCCACAGTAACAAACAAACTGCAAACTGTCTTTCAAAGTAAAAGCACAATATAGGCATTTTTATTCCAAGACAAAATGAGATTAGCCTTGTATGTGTAAAACAATTGTTTTCATTGCATATAGTTTTCTGATGTACAAAATATTCATAATTCACATATTTTTAATGTGTTGATTTTGCACCAAGTGAAGTATGACAGTTTTTCAGTGAGCTGGCACAATAGCACAAATATTGAACGTAACAAAAGGCAAATGTTTTTTTTTCCCTACAAGAGTGTGCCTTGTAGTGAGGTTTAACACTAAAGCTTTTTTTTTTTTTTTTTTAAAGAAAATGTAAGTTATTTTAATGTCTAATAACAATAACAGCAAAGCAATAACACTAATGCTTCTATATTATATCGAACACATTCACCCATCCGGTTCATATTTTCTTAATAATATCACCACACCACAGTCACATTAATTTGAAACTGACAAATAAAACACATAAAATGCAAATTGTGCTCTGTGGCGGTTTATGCATGCTTTTATTCTGAAGGTACCGTATCTAGTGTACTGATCGTACTTTACTAATATTGTCAAACTTGACTCCACAGCTGGATTTGCGTCGCCCAACCAGACTTTCTAGTTCTCCTTCATCTCCATGGGAGGAGGGGGAGGAGGAGGAGGAGGAGGAGGAGGTACATTTTCCCACCTAGTGGTGCACTTCAGCGTCCACGTCATGTTCTCATTCCATCTTAAAGTTTGTCAATCGGTCAATCTGCAAGTTTTACTGCTGCATTAAATGTGAAATATTCGGAATACTTAACTGAACTCTATCTGCTTGAAATAAGACGAAGTGAGTAAACAGCTCACAGCTGCAAATTAGAAATTGAAATTCTGTGTTTTAGGACTGAATCATTCTAAATGCAAACATGAATCCTTAAACTCTACACATCCTCAGACTTTTCTAAAGAAGAACACATAAATGACTACTTAGATGTAAAAGTTTAAACAGTTCAGGTATTTAACATTTCTGCATTTGCTGCACATATGTTGTCATGAAAATGCATCTTATACATCAGAGATAATGCATTTATTGTATTGCAATAGTCTATATCTGAGTCCTACCAGAATTCTTTTTGTTCTGCCAATAAACAGTGTTGTATTACTGTGATTTTCAACAGGAACATTTGGATTTTAGATAAGATTTCATAGTTTTTTTATGGACATTTAAAACAAATTGGTATATCCTTCCTGCACATGTTAAATAAGTAAGTAAGTAAGGAAGTAAATAAATAAATAAATAAATAAATACCCTTAATAAAAACAAGTAAAGGACTAAATTACAGAAAGAATCACTGGTAACATCGAATGAGATCAGCCTTGTATTGCCTATGCCATGGTTGTTTATAATTAAAAAAGATAATCTGATTTAATTCAAAAGAGATACACTAGTAGTACAGTAGTAGTAGTAGTTGTAGTAGTAGTAATATTAATGGTCTTTTTTTTTTACACTTGAATAAATAGTGCTGAAATAAGTGAATGATTTCTGACTTATCTAATGTAAAAACTACTGTAAATACTAAAAACATATGTTGTACAAGATGGTATTATATGAAAACTAGAATGTAATACTTGTACTACTAATAATGATCAAATGCCCCGTTTATCTCTCTAGCTGAATTAGCTCAAATAATTCTAATTGCTATAAGACTAAAAAAAATAAAAAACTTAAAAAAAAAAAGGAGAGGGATAAAAAGAAAAAAAGGGAGCTAAAAATAAGTATGGTGAACTAGATGGCATTGTATGCAAAACAGAACGTGTAACAACAACAATAATGATAATAATGGTCAGAAATACTCTTATTGCTTTTATCAATAAATCATTTAACAGAGCTTAATTAAACTGAAAAAAAGATAAATAAAATGTTTAAAAAAATGCATTGTAATATGTTATACAAAACGCCATTATATTAAAAATCTAACAACAACAACAACAACAACAACAATAATAATAACAATAATAATAATAATAATAATAACAATAATAATAATAATAATAGTCAGACTTGTTCTGACTGATAAACTGAATTAAATAAGCTAAAATAAACCAAACTGCTACAATGTCAAACAAACAAGCAAACAAACAAACAAACAAACACCCGTAAAAAAAAATCCTTAAAATAACTACTGCAAAAAGTGTTGTGAACAAAGCAGAATGGCAAACAAGATGCCGTTATAAAAATAATAATAAAAAAAACAACAATAATGTCTAAATTTCCTCTTGGACAGGGATCTAGAATAGGGGGACAGCACTGGATGAGCTGCAGGTAAAGCGACAGGACCACCTGCTCTGGCTCACTGCGGCCTGAACCATGGGGGAGGGTGACACCAGATGTTGCTATGCAGCTGGATCTCTGTCTTTATGCTAATTGGACTAAAAATAGAATCGCTCCGGCTCAGCCAATTAGCGTTCAGGTCGCGAGGGCAACACCCAGGGTGGAATTGAGGGGGGCTCGAGAGCACTTGAGGACAAACCGGCGACTGTCAAGAAAACTGTCAAACTCCAAAAGTTCCCGTTTCTTAAACCGATTCGGTAAGTTGTCTCCGGGTTTGACGGGTAAATTTAACTCACATTCAATTTTACCTTCTTTTTAAAGGAAAAATTAGTTAACTTTGCCAACAGGACAAAAGTTTAAACGTGGGAAAACTACAGTCCGAATTAGCCAAAGCAGCATCAAAGTTAGCTTAATACACTTCTCGGCTAGTTAGATCCGGTAGATAAGCCAGTTGGTTGCTTTCCTTGAAACAGTAGCTAGCTTATCATTTCCACCGTTTATGCATCTCCTTAGTTTGTCATATTTACTATATTGGGCTATATTAAATATTTACAGTGAGTACTTAGTTTTTTTTTTTTTTTTTTTTTGCCAGACCATGGTTTCCTAAGGAATCATCAGGGAGTTAAAGATGGCGTCTGACCGGCATCACAGCACACTTTCAAATTCACTTTTTCACACATACCAGCGTCAGGTAAGAAACAATTATGGCTATGCCGCTTTTTTAAGTAAAGTGGCATATTTGCAAAATTTTACTGATCATCAGACATACCAATTTCTTTCTATCTATCTATCTATCTATCTATCTATCTATCTATCTATCTATCTATCTATCTATCTATCTATCTGTCTATCATTTCAAGGCCGAACTGTGGGTGATGTTCTGAATATTTTATGGCATGTGAAATGCCAAACATTAGTGAAAAATCAAGTCCGACCAACCGTGACAATATTTAGTCAAAAGAATTACTAACAGCAAAACCTTCCATTTGAATTGATAGCAACTGTTTTTTTTTATTGGTTAATTAACATATAATTTGTTTTAACATTCTGTTAGAGTGGTTCTCCTCATTTTACAGCTTCTGTGACACCTATGACAATTTTTCCAACAATTGTTGCACTTTTTGCATCACTCTGCCTTGTGTGAGGAAACAAAATACACTTGTATTGTCTATCAGGTGAGCTTCACATTGATTAAGCTTTTTTCTTTCAGGCAGGTGTCAGTGTGGGTGGTGGAAACAGTAACAGCATGGCATTGCCTTTTGTTTCCATACCTGATGCCTCATGGCAGGAACAGGATACCCCATCCTATACTGTCTGGTCTTGCAATGCTCAGGATGACCTCTACAAGCTTACTAGTTGCTCCCAGAGCGGCATCAAAAGCAGGTATTATTATTATTATTATTAACTGTGTTCAGAAGCATTCAACCAAAATGTAGTTCATTTGTGCAATCACACTGCTGTTACGTGCAGTCATTGGTTTGGGATTTTATTCTGTTCTTTAGACGTAATTAGACATACTGGGTGTAATTCTTATCATGACAATATGAGTAAAGTTGTGAAAGAAAAAAAACAAACATGCTTTTTTGCTTTTAGAAAACCTGATATTGCTGGTTGCGATGGGGAGACTGATCTGCAAGATCTAGTGTCAAATATTTTGGATGAAGCAGATTCACAGGACAGCTACCTCTGCCAAGGGTATGTCAAGGTTTGAGTGTTTTACATTATAGATTTTGGTATATATTACAGTATGTATAGTATGATTTCCGTCACAGTTGAACCACCTGAAATATTTGTTATTTGTTTGTTTTATGTTAGTCTTTTGAAAATGAAGATGTTGTATTAGTTTTATGATCTCTGGCATTAAAGAAAGTCCTCAATTGTTATTTTAGGAGCATACCCAACCCCATCTGGTCCCCTAAGACATTGACAGAAGAACTGCTGCAGTATTTTCAATCAGATGCTAGCACACAGCATAACCCTTCTTTTCCTCCAAACCAACTATCCCATGAGACTTTCGGTAAAACACAGCAACTGTCAGTGAATCAAGATGTTAAGGAGTTGAGTCAACAATCCAGTGGCTTTGCTAACAATCAAACATGGCTTTTTAATTTGCCTAACGGAGACAGCTACTGCCGACCTGCCCAGAAGCTGCCCTCAGTCGCACCAATGCCCAATGCAGGAAGCACCTACCCATCACAGACACAACCAGTCAGCATGTCAGCTTATAATGACAGAGGCATTGGACAGCCTATGAATAATTTTCTCAACCTCAGTGACATTTTTAGACCTCAAAGTGCAACGAGCAGCAGCTGTTTTGATCCTTTCCATGAAGATAACTTGATTCAGAACAGTGTAAAGTCCATTTATAGTGAGCAGTATGTGCCAGAAGACATAAACCAGCTAGTCAGCAGTTTTCAGTCAGTCATGGCTGATAGCGTATATCATGGAGACTTTCCAAACACACACAAGCTGGCATTGGGCATGCACCATGAAGATAGCATGGCTGAAGAATGGGAAATCACCAGCCCTGCAATGTCAACACAAAGTACTCCCGCAATGCAGATCCCAAAACAGCTGGTGGGAGAATTTGGGACAAGACAGAGGGAAAGAACTGAAGGAGTGAGGAAACAAACATTTAAATGTGATGCGTTTCAAGATCGATGTGATTTCACCCCTCAAAACACAGAGTGCTTCCAGCAATCAAAGCCCTTCTCTGCACCTTTAAACATCCCAAACCAATACCAAAACAAAATGACAGTGCACAGAGAGAACATTAATGTAAGTATGAACCAATATTCAAACCATCATATCCAGCTGAGCCAGATACAGAACAAGATCAAGCCACAGATACAGAAAGAAAAAAAGAGGATGCACATGTCTGGAGTACTGGGAGAAGACTTTTCTAGGAGGCCCCAAACCAACGCTCACATGAGAGAGGGAGATAAACAACACCTCTCACAAAGCCCACACTTTGACTTCCAGAGCAGCCAGCAGTCTCAGAGCAGCATATTCAGTGGAGGGAATGTACAGCAGGTGATGCCTTTCATGTATCCTGGAAATGACCTCAGGAGGCAGCCCAGCATGTCCATCAACTCTAACTTCAGCTCTAGATCCACATTACCCTATGGTAGTGGTGTTCCTGGTGCTAATGTGGGTGATATGATATCAGCCAATGATTCTCAAGCTTTCAACTCTTACGTCGGTGACATAAGGACCCACAGAGCAGAGAGCACTTGTCATGTCCCGGCCTCTGCCATGACGACTTCAGTGCTGATGAATCAGGGAGGACCTGTGATCCAGCCTTGCTTCTACCTGTGCGAGTGTTACGAGCAATGGAGGTTTCTGGAGAAGGAGAGAAAGAAGGTATGCGATTAAAATCTGAATTTGTGTCAGGTAAAAATATGTCTGGGGATCATAATCAGGAATGGTATAACAGCCACTTTTTGTGGTTTCAATGGAAGAGTACAGGTGATATTGAGTTTACTTTATTCCTATTTAGTTATTAATGAAAAACATGGTACTAAGTATTTTTGTAATTTGGAGCTATTGAACTGCCAAACGTATCTACAGAGGTCCAGCTTTAATTCTAATATTGTTAATTAGGCCCGTGTGCACTGTACAGTTTTACTATACTGGGAGGAAAGATTTTCCAGTTTGGGCCGAGGTTCTGACAAATATTCAACTCCACCTTAAGATGAGGGCAAAAGTATTTTCAGTTCCTCATGGAGACACTATTTTGCTATTTAGTCAGCTGTTTTGTACCAATGTTTAAAAGTGGTTTGGTCAATGTTTTTGTCTTTTAATGTTTGTCTTTTTTACACACAACGACACACTCAAGGATAATCGACGTCTATGTGTCCTAGCAGTCAAAACACATGAAAGAGAAGATATTATCTTTCATTATTTTTGTTATTTATTCCATGCAAGATATATTTTTAGCTCATTTTTATTAAGATGAGCTCTGCAAACAATACATTCTGTGTTTTTGCAATTGTGTTGGCTATGGAGTTGGCCTGAATTTAGAAACTATTTAATATCAGGATGTCATGTTCTTATGTTTTGCTTTGTTTTTTTTTTTTTAGATAGAGGCCACCCTTAAAACAGTTTTTAGGAAAGGGCCTGCAGGAGTGACCAACATGAACCTACCCAAAACTCCACCATACCCCACAACAATTGACCACCTGATTGTTAATCAGACACGACAATACACAAAGGTGAGACCCCTGAATTGATTGCATTCACACTGCCACCCACTGGCGAATTTTGTCACAGCAGCATTGTTGTGTCCTGCAGGGTTTACAGAATTATTTGGCAAATATTTGAGTTCAGTTCAGTTGCGAAACAGCTACTCCTCCCAAAATTTCTTAGCTGATTTCCTTAGTTTAGTGGATTATTTAGTTTCGTCTTATTTTCATTTATTTCCACAATCATTAAAAAAAAACATACTTGCATACAGAGTACAAGTACAGAGTGCTTACAATGTACAGACCCAGTATAAAAAGTTAATGTTTTAGAATTTCTTGTTGATAAATGAACTATTTCTGTGCATTGTATTTTGTGTAATAGCTGATTAATGAGTGATCATGGTAAGAAAGACCAAATACTGGGTTTGATTGTTTTTGTGTGGACTGGGTGCTCCCGAATTTTTTTTTTACCTGACCCAGTGCTGTGCTTTTGTTTATAAATCTAGTTCTGGTAAAAACTTAAATCCCTTTTTATTAAGATTTTACATATATTTTGATGCTATATCACTTTTGTTTTGTAAAACTGTAAGGCATACATAGATAAACCAAGTAAAGTAAATATTACTATAGTTTTTCTTGAACTCACATACAGAGAATATCCCATTATGAAATCCATCCATCCATTATCTACACACCGCTTAATCCTCACTAGGGTTGCGGGGGGGCTGGAGTCTGTCCTAGCTGACTTAAGGCGAAGGCAGGGGACACCCTGGACAGGTCAACAGTCTATCACAGGGCCACACTTAGAGACAGACAACCAAACACACTCACATTCACACCTACGGACAATTTAGAATCACCAATTAACCTCAACATCTTTTTGGACTGTGTGGGAGGAAGCCGGAGAATCCGGAGAGAACCCACGCTGCACGGGGAGAACATGCAAACTCTGCACAGAAATGCGAACTGGTGACCTTCTTGCTGTGAGGCAACAATGCTAACCACCGATCCACCTTGCAGCCCCCATTATGAAATCCATTTCTAAAACTGAGAAAGGAATATAAACGTAGATTATGTTGGTGTGTTGCAGGTGGAAAGCCTTCTGGAACGGATGGAGTGTCTGTGTAGCACTCCTCTATGCAGCAACATCCACGCAGCACTGAAGAGGCATCATATGGCTATTTGCATCACACAAGCAAGATGCATGGACACTGCAAACATGACCAAACACCAGCGACAGAAACCTCATTTCACAGAGGACAGAGGTAACCCATATTTAATAACTAAACATACTACATTGTCCTCTTTATATGCTGCTGGACCTAACTTGCTTCTGTTTCCTAGGACCCTTGTTGTTGAGCATTTCAGTGAAGGACCTAGCTGCCTCCACTAGGAAACTCCGTACAGCTCTGTGGTGTGCTCTTCAAATGACACTGCCAAAGGCTGGCAAGATGCAGTACCATGTTAACAAGGAGGACACATGTAGTGAGAAATGCTTCTCTCTTTTTGAAATTAGCTCTTTTCAGTTATAATCTACCAAGTTAAAGGTGCCCAGAGTGCCCTATTTATTAGTGTCTCATAGTCAGAAGAGTGACACAAACAAATGTTCTTATCGTATTACTTACCTGCAAGTCAATATGATATTTTATCTGCAACACAGGGGTCACTGCAGAACATGATATGAGTAATTTGAAGCTAAGTAGGAATTGCATGAAATGTAATTTGTCCTGCTGCATCTTAACTTCATTTAATTAGTGTCAGTTCCAAATCAACATGAATCTGATTGTATTTAAAGGCACTATTTATGTGGAAGATTTCAGTGAATTCTTCATCGTTTTACTTATTTACTGGAATGTAATGGAACCTCAGTTTTGAGTATTCCCACGCAATAATTGAATCACCATGGCAGTAGTTTAAAATAAACATACTAAACATTAAATCATTTCCTGAAATGTTCCAGTTAATTTCTGCAGCATCAGCTTTTCTTATGTTTAAACATTCTGTAATTGAAAAAGGTTTCTACCTGCAATTTGGTAGAGTTTGAAATGTACCAACAATACTAAAATATCTAGAAAAGGGGTTCAATATCAGTCGTCAGTCATCAGTGAAATGTAACACAGCTAAGTTAAAAAATAATTCTGTAAGCGCAGTTGTCGTACGACTTGTTCTATTTCAGTCGTTTATAATAAGCATGCTAAATTATATGATTTTTCCTAAAATGTTTCATTTAGTATCTGAAACTTTTCTTTCTTCTGTTGGTAACTGTGAGATCATAAATCGGTTTAATTTATATAAAATGTTGTCAGAATTGTAAACATGCTAAAGCGTTCTAAGTTCAGCATAAAACATTTTAAATGCATTAATCACATTATCAAACATTATCCGTAAAGTGTGAATGCTTGTCAGCAAGGGACCAAAGTGTGTATTCATTATAAAGCTAAGTCAAGAAAAAATTTCTCTGAAAGCCTTTAGCTTCTAGACATCCTGCAGGGGGACTCCTCTGACAGTGCTTCAGGAATATAGGCAAGGTTGTTCTATTCTCTGTCATTTTAATGCTGTTGTTGTGTTTTTTCTTGTTAATTGTTGTCATCTGAAAAAATCTTAATAAAGCAATCCAAATTGCTGAAAAATGCTTTTTTTATTCATTTAAAAAGATGTTGAACCTCATTATAAACATTGAGATGATGGTACATGATATATTCGAGGTATAATTTACCAACTGCTCCTTTCTTCTTAGTCTCCAACAAAATGTATACACAGTAAAACTATAATCTAAAGCATTGAAATGCAAGCAATGAAGTTTGACAGCAGCACCGGCCTTGACGCAGAAGTTGTGCAGAAAAAAAAAAAGAAGGCATTTGCAAGGTGTTGGCACAAAGGACAACAGCAGAAAATGTGGACTGAGCTGCTTCACAAGGATTTCTCCATTTTTACCATGAACAGTCCAATTTGTGTTTCAGGTGTATAATTTTGGGGTAACTTGGTCAACACTTAGCCACAGCACGTGTCACATTTGTTGACCAACAATATGAGACTATCACAGTTGTCTTTAGATTAAGATTTGCAGCTTTATTCCAAGATAACATCGATCTGTATCTGATTAAATCAGAATCAGAAATAAATATAATGAATTTTGTTTCTGCACAACATCCAGTTCATTGATTTTCACACATATTATGAGACACATAATGTAATTAACAAGGAGGATCTGATAAACATGAGTGACAGTGCCGAGGAGGTTTAGCTAAAAAGAGTAGAAGACAATAGTTCTTTTTTTAAACTTTGTCTTGTAAGAAAAACGTTTCACATACAAAGTGTCCTGTCATTTGGTTTTATCTTTTGCGTTCACCTTTCTGTGTACGCTTCTTCTCCTTCTCTTTTCTGTCTTGTTTGGCTAGTTTGTCCTTCTCCCGCTGCATCTTGTCACTTTCCTTCTTCTTCTGAGCATCCTCACGAGCCTGGTCCCGCTTTTGCTTTTGTCTGTTGAGCACCTCCTCCACATTGGTGTTCTTGAACAGAGCTGACACTTTCAGTAAAGGAGAGCTTGATGCAAAATAATCATTACTACGTATGTCCACTGAGAGGGTGTGAATAATTCTAACACTGTATCATGGTTTTACAACTAGAGCATTGCCCATTCATATAGTAGGACTTAGTCACGTGTTTTTTTAAAAGCATGTGTTCACAAATAGCTAGAAAAGGATACATTTTTCATTTCCAGCAAAGGCGTTTCCACTTTGTGGCTCCTCTTCCTCAGCTTCAGTGTGTTAGTCAAGGAAAGAACTGACATCTTAGAAATCACGACTGTACAGGATGACGCAACAACTTTTTTTTGTTGCTTACGTCTTTCAATGACTATGCTCATGGACGCTATCTTTGTATGGTCAAAGAAGTGTGTCGTCTTACTGTTAAAAATCAAGGATATTCCTCTTCGTCTGTTATGTTAGCGTACTGGGCAAGAAGGGCCTCTTTCCGTTTCTTTGACTCCGCAGACACCTCCTTCTGCTTCACCACAATCTGAGCTTGTTTTTCTATCATACTGGCAATGGCCTGGACCTCAGCTACAGAAAAGGAATGGCAGAGCACAGTCAAACTGTAAACAAATAATGACAACATTTAGTACCTTCCGTTGCAATAAAAGTACTTGCTTTTTTGCTGTCACTATGAAGGTATGTTAACAGAAAGAGCAGACAGTATAGCACATCCTTATGGCTATGTACACAGTAAACAATCTCATTCCAAGAATACTGACAAAACAAACTCAGCGTTAATTACTTTCTGGCATAAACCAAACCACAGAAACTTTATGCAATCCCAGGAGCTGTTTTTGTTTCTTTTTTTTTTTATTTTTTCAGGAAATGTTAATCTCTTATGAAGACAAGTCTCTCTGTGCACTCTGTTTCAAACTCAGAACAAGGGAGCTTAAACTGAAAGAGCTAATGCCTCTGTATGTTTAACTAGTATTAAAGACAGACTCTGTAGCAAGCTGTCTTTTCTCTGTTTATTCAAGATTTAAAGGAGCTGATGAGTCTGCTGGCTTGATTGTTTTGACTGCCATATCTATCTATCTATCTATCTATCTATCTATCTAGTATATATAAATGTCTAGTGTTTGGATTGCACTGTTGCAGGATTTTTAAATTTGCATTAACTCACAGGTACAATTTAAGTGTACAGTACTGTATGTTGATGTTCTGCAGGATCAGTAAAATTCCTGCCAACATGGATGGCTTCTTCCTAAAGAGTTACTGAATTATGCAAGCTTTCTTGACGAAAAAAATAAATTAAAAAAACATTTCACTGACATCATCAAAGTAGATGAATCAAAGTTACATAAATACCATCTTCAGCATTTCTTTTGGCTGCTGATCGACTGCAATACTCTGTCCACTCCTTGATGATCTGTTTACAGACATCTTCCATAGTGTCCTCATCCTGCATACAAATGACAACATTACAAAGTAGTGTAAGCAAGTGAAGTACAAGGAACAGCTCAAATTCTGTACTCAGTATGGAATAAATACAGTGGTGTTATGATTCAATTACTTATTTAAATGCCAGGGGGTGACACGTTTGAGCCTGAATAAAGACGCTACAATAATTCATATCAATACTGCGTTATTCACTCCAAGTGTGAATATGGTCAAACAATTACTAACATGCATCTCTACCAAACAGCACGGTGAACTTGACAGTGCTTTTTCTAAGCTGTGTATGCCAAAAAAAAAAAAAAAACGTTCAGGGACTGTAGAGTACTGACTCATATGTTGCTTGGTGCGTGTCGCTACTGATCGAGCCGACAACTATCTACAAATCCCAGATTTTTGAATGGGGTTTGGTGTGGCAGGAGATATAAGCTCATCTCTCTGCCGAGTGTGTGGACTTGAAGAAACCCTGCTGCGTCTAAACAACGATATCGACCTCCACAAATAACAGCTGACATCAGCACTGTCACAAGGTACCACCCGGCAGACAAGACGGACAGCAACAAATGAGAAACCACAGGCGCGGTGGCTGAGCGGAACACGCCGCTTCGGATATTCACCAGAAATGCGGATAAAATTCCTTGAAGCGCATCTTCTTTCTCCTCGTCGCTCTCCTCTTCTTGTAGAATCCCTAAAATGTACGCCCCGTACACCTCACGGTCTACTTCTAACGAGTCTAGCCGATCATTTAGCCAGCTTTCAAACTCCCCGGCGTCTGTCAAGGGCGCAGCCATCTTGGCCCTTTGGGGTCCTTCTTAGCCGCCTGGCTGTCCTTTGTGATTGCCTGTGAAAAAAACAAGCTATAGACACAGGTGTTTCTAAGCCCACTTTTATTTTTTCACACCAACGCCGAAGTAACCACGCTGCCCCAGGTAACTATGGTGTGACATGTTGTAAAAGGCGGATATACAAATTCAACAGCCGATAGGTTGATTATATTAAATATTTGTAGCAGTCAGCTGTTTGCACTAAGTTCGAGGAGTTGTTATGACTGAAAAGTTCCATTTAGCGGTACATTCCACTTTACAGTTTTTCTTAAAGTCTGGCAATACTGAACCATTAATTTCCACAGTCAGTAAATACGCTGGTGTATTTATGCAGTTCACATTTTTTTCTTCTCTTAAACATGGATAAAACTCACTCTAAAATACACGTTTCAAAATTGCTACATCGATTCTCCAAGTCTCTACTTCCATCTTCTCCCTCCTTTTCTTCCTTCGTGATCACCTTTCCCTGAAATCACCGAAAGTGGCCGATTGAATCACCACTATTGATCCTATTGAATCAATAGCGGTCGAATCAAACCAAGTACACTCACTCTGATGAAGCTTACTTGTATTTTACTTGCTACTTTCTACCTCTACTTCTCTGTATTTTGGAGGTACATTTTGTACCACTACAATTATTTAAACTTTTAGTCATTAAATGTAGAGTGTTCATATAAAACATAAATCTTCTCTAGTACATTCTGCTGTAGGTTGAGCCACTGAACAATAGCCTTTATAAAATAAAGTAAAAGTAGCTCCCATTGCAACACTAAATATTGATGTACACATTACTGAATCAATAGCATTCTCTATCGTGAGCACTTTTACTTTAGGTATTTTATTTTGAAGCCACTACTTTTGTATTTTTATTTAAGTAGTACTTTGCTTTGATTACATTTACCTAAGTAAAGCATCTAAATACTTGTTACCCCACTGTCTCTGATGTGTGCCTGTTCTACATCAAGGGTTCCTACTTTGCCCCCCTGTAGAGTAAATCTGAGACACAACATTTCACAAGTTGCACCTAAGCTAAATTACGGCCCGTAGTCTATGAACACAGGTCTTGTCAACTGTCCATTTGAACGATAATTGCTGTGATAACTTTGTCCTGCTGCTAGTCTGGCTTGTTAAATTAAGTTCAGTCGCCAAAATTTCAATCAGTGCTAAATGCCCAGCATTGGCAGTCGTATAAGTGCCCTGGTATACTGCCACAAATACCAACGCTTTTGATTGAAAATTAATGTTTGATTGTCCTCACAGTTTACAGACGTACTTATACACTCACTTGTAGGCTTTGAGCACTAGGTGTGCCAGTACTAGTCAAACTGAAATTCTGATTTCAAAATAATGAGCTATTCTTTTTTAACTCAGTGGGCAGCTGGCAGTCAAACAGCTCCTGGCAGAACACTATCATAACCACAACATACCAAAAATACTGGAAAAACTATTTGTTTCTGTCATCTAAATGAAGAAAAGTCTTCTCTGAGGAGTAATTTGTGTGATTGTAAACCTCTGACAAGGTATTTGCGATTCCTCATTGGCACTGAAGTAATTGAGACATAAGTATTCTTCATTATTATCATGTGTGGTTAGTTGCTTAAAGTTAAATAAGTTTTTAGAATTGATCACTAACCTTTGTGTTGCTGGATTCACTGCCTGTGTAGAAGGAGGCACGGAGGAAACACAGATGTTTTGGGATCACAATTAGCATAAACATTCTGTGACATTCTGTTTTTGGCCACTGGGTGGAAGTAGAAGACAGATTTGTTTACTCCTCTCATATGATAAAGACACAGGATATAGTTGGCTTCAGTTGCACGACAATGGCTCGGACCTTATCTAGTATGTGATTCATTTCAAATTGCTCTATGTGCGTCAAAGTCAGTTTGTTAAAGTACAGTTGTAAGCAACGCTGTGCAGCACAAAAATGCCCTGCCAGATGTTTGTTCATCCTCTTTCATTTGACACTGGGACAATAGACAACACCTCCTAGCTGTTTGAATATATTAAACAATGTTTCCGTGTGAATGGCTTGATCTCGCTTTTAGAAAGCACTTTGTGCAAGGGTTGTTATTACTTACATCCCCTAGTTACACCCTCTAACACATATATATATATGCACACACGCACACTCCCCTTCCCACTGATCCTACATAATAGCTTCACACGTCGCTGGCCTTGCAGTAATGAAGTGTGAAGCTTCTGTGACGCCACAG